CGGCAAAACAACGGTTGTGGCGGGCGGCACCGGGGGGGGCTCGTACTAGCCAGGTGGTGATGATGGCTGTGGTGGGGTGTGTCTAGTCCCCCATTGGTGGGGGGGGGGGGGAGAAAGGAGATATGGTCGAGGTGGCACCTTAGTAACGGACGGGCTGGTCTCAGGCGGCGGCGCGGCGCGGGGGGAGGGGCGACACGGGTTGGTTGCGTACCGCGGAATGCCCATTTCCCCCCCCCAACTCCTCCTCCCCCCTTTCCCTCATGTTTATCTCTGGTATCTGCTTCAATAGTCAGTGATTCGTCTTATCTTAGGGAAAACCCTTCGTCGTTTCCCGCTCTCCCGCCAACACAAAAGGGTGCCGGAGGGGAAAAAGGACGCAAAAAAGGGCTGTAGCCCCTAACCCCCCACTTGTGAACCCATCCCAGAGGTCTTAGACCAGGATCGAGACGACATTTCTGAGTGTACGACAAGGCAGTACATTGTCGTACACTATTAAGGTACCTGTACGGCACATGCGACTGCCGCCATCTCCTCCCATTCAGGCATCAGCTTATCGGGCTTGGCCTGGCGCTTGCAGCAGATGGCGATGTAGCATGATATCTGGGACGATACTCGAGCAGGACGGCGGGAGCGGCAGTAGCAGCGACGAAGAGGCGGGGACGGAAGTTGGAATTTTGAATTCGGAATGTACGGTGGAGTACGGCACAGTAGAAAGTACGGGTGGAGAAGGCTGAGGTGGCGGCTGAGGAGCAGCAGGTGAAAAGGGAGATGCAGAGCCCCACCCGGGGAAAGGAAAAACACTCAACAGCGCACATCTGTTTGGCCGAAAAAGGCGCCGGGGGTACGCAAAAACCACCCCTACCTCCCCTACCACCCCTACCTCCCCCTACCTCCCCTACCTTGCCCCACGTGCTGTCTCGCTTCCTCTGCAGCTTCTCCAGCGTCTTGACCGCCTTCTCCTCGGGCAGTCTTGTACGACACAGATCCATGGTAAGATCCTCCATCTCACGCTTAGATTCGCCCTCCAATACAACAAACCTGAATGAGGGTCAGAATCTCAAGCCAAATTCAACCAAACCCAAACCCAAGCCCAGGCCCAAACCCAGATCCTACAAATTCAAATTCAAATTCAAACCTACCTCCAGGGCTCCGTTTGACCGTGAGTGGGCGCCCAGTTGGCGGCCTGATTGAGGGCAAGGGAGGGAGCCCGATATATGCGGGAAGAACCAAATAATTTAAATAAAATAAAAACAAAAAATTAGCAGTAAACAATAAAAAGAATAAATAAATAAGTACCTGATTGGGTATCAGTTCATATCCTAAAAGCCGATTTCGGGAAGAGGGCAACTTGAATCCCGGTCTTATTCGCCCGTCCCACCTCCCCCCGCACCCACTTCGTGTGTCCAAACCCACCTCACCTCCAACCCCCCAACACACGCCCCAAGAAAACCCGGAGTCGCCCCCTCTCCCCTCCTTCAGCGGTTCCCACCCATCCCTCCTTTCCACCTGTATTAGTAAGATATCTAAAATCGATTCCTTTCAATTTTACCGAAATATTTAGAACTATGAATATTTAGAACTATGAATATTTAGAACTATGAATATTTAGAACTATGAAATTTCCCCCAAACCCCCAAATACCTCCAGCAGCATCTCCAGTTCCTCCCGGGGTACTTGAAGCCCGTCGTAGTCCTTGGGGAATATGGAACGTCGCTTCTTGATTAGGGCCAGTACGGCATCTGGAGACGGCAACGAGGCCGCCGCCGCCGCTGCCGTAGAGGACGGGGCCTGCGAGGCGGTTGCGTCGCCGCTACCTCCCTTAGCGGGTACGGCGGCGGGGATAGTTGAGGTGGCGGCGCCGGCGGAGGAGCGCTGCAAGCCAGTCAAAAGAGGGGAGGACAGGAAGAAGAACGAGATGCAGAATGCATAATATGGCAATTAATATGGCAATTAACTGGGAAGTGAGATCCCAACGGGGAAAGGGAGCGGAAATTCACTATTGGGTTGAAAATGGGTTGGATGAAAATCTCAGGGTGTTTCCGAGGGGGCCATGCAGACTGCTGGTGAGGTGTGACCATCGCGACAGTGGCGAGGTCGTCATCTGCATACTCTGATCGTGTACTTTTAGGCTGCTGGGGCAGGTGTGGTCACTGTTTACTTCTGGGCTCGCTGTGCGCGCGCTGACGAGCGGTAAATGTTAAGTTCTTTTGGTAATATACATATTATGGGCGGCTTTAGTTTTCAGCCAGTTGTATGGGAAACGCAGCGGCTGCAAGCTGCGTCTATTATTTTATGCGGCTCCTTCTCTATTTTGCTCTCTGCGCGGCGGTGGAGGACCGACGGACACTCTCTGCGCGCTGCTGCCGTAGGCCAGCCGCGGAATGTGATCTTTGACGGTAACGTTACGTTACTTTGGTGTTTTGGCGGAAAAGCGCCTCCCTAGGGCCTTCTTAATGCATCCCAGCGCTATGCATACATGTGAAAGAATGTTGCTGATGCGTCATTTTCGAGATAGATTAAGACAAGGAAGATAAGTTAGGGGCCTTTCCCAGGCAACAACGTCCAGGCTGAACTAAACTTTTAAAATCTTAAAAGTTTTTTCCTAGATACAAAAAAATTGCAGATCTAGATTCGCTCCGCTCCTACCTTTTGCGATTGTACATAGTCGGGCAGCGTAAAAATCAGCCAAGTAGTTAGACCTCCTAGAAACATTGTGGCGGTCACGGCGGCGCTGGAGGTGGCGAGGCCGGCTGCGCCCGACACAAGCAGTAGACCCAAAATGGCCACCTCGGACTTGACACTGGAGCCGACAGCTCTTAGAATGTGTAGGAAAGAGGCGAAGAATGGGGCGAGGAGAGAGGAAGGCGAGGGCCGGCGGAAA